ATGCTTAGTACAGCTCAGTAAGTCCAGACACTTGGACACAGACGGACGCCCTCCAGGCCTGGGATACTCAACTGCCCCAAAAAAAAAAAAAAAAAACTTTAATATAAGCTAGCAGGGCCACAGAACAGTCACACAAATCTTAACATGGGCAATCCCCATCTTCCCCGAGGGAGCCACCATAACACAACAGAGCATGCACAGACACCCACTGAACACCACCACTAATTGCCACTAACAGAGGAGACACTAGGGCAGACTCGAGGTAACAGCATATTTCATAATAAAAAAAAATAAAAAATAAAAAAAATAAAATAAAATAATATAAAAAAATAAAAATAAAAAAAAATAACCTGATACTCCCATGACCCGCTCCCCTAGACAGCACCCTCAACTCTAAGTGTGACACTTTATACATAGCCTACAACAGGGCATACTGCCCACCCCTTAAGATCATACTGCCCATCTCCCGCATAATATGGAAAGAGGGTAAAGGGGACCTTGTACAAGCTCTCAATGGGTTTCTAATGAGGTATTGCAAATGTGAAAATGTAAATATTGTTCGTAAATGTGTTGTGCATTGTACCCACAGACTATTAACTGACCCCACCACAGGCACGACCCCACAGCACGGACAACAGGCCCCCCCTGGGGACTCTAGGAACATCACCGCAATGGAGATGTTGGGGCCACCAAACCGAAATACTAAGACCCCCAAGGGTAGGAAGAAACCCTGACCCCCAACAAGGGACACGCACACACAGGAACGACACTACATGACGCCTGTGACCGTATAATTATCAGACCCATGACACGCAACACACGACGCACTCCAACTCTCACCACAACCCAAAGAACGCTCCAGGAGACAATGGACCCAATCCAACAGACAATATTGAGACCCTCAACCACCTGGTATAAAATAACGATATCTGTTACATTGATACCTTTACAGAAGCCATGACACCCGCTACGGCGATTCTATTCGGACCCCCCCACCGAAGGATATGAATAACCTGATAAGACAACACCAGAGGTAAATTCACAACACTCCGAAGTGACGGGAGGAGAGAAGAGACACCCCTCTCGACACTTCCTACTCAACCCACACACCTCTATTACCACCACTTACAACGGCTCCCACCGCTTTACAAGCGGCTACATAGAGGGAACCGGTTTGGATCAGTACAAGGTACAGACACCCAAACCCCCTCCACCTCCGTCCCCAACACTCCTGGCAACTTCGGTATCAGACCAGGCACATCCCGACCAACCCGCCCCTACATACACAAATACCCCACCGGGGCGTAAAACCTCAGAACTCAATCCTTGGAACGAAACCTAGGCATACACGCCCTCACCCTCTGGCATCATCCCTCCCCCTTACCCTATCCCTCCTCATAGCCAGGCGCACCGCCCTAACACATACACACGAATAACCCCAGAAAACAACACCCCCTGTGAGAACAACCAGACATTATGACTGCCAAACTCACCTGCATTTCCATTAACTGCAAAGGCCTCAACAATCCAGCGAAGAGACACAGACTTATGAGGTGGGCGAACCGCACAGGAGCAGATATAATGCTACTACAAGAAACTCACTTCACCCAGACCAAACCGTTTCCCCTCCTCAGCCGGCACTTTAGAGAATGCTATACTGCTAACTCCCCCAACACCAAACAGAATGGAGTAGCCATACTGCTACGCAAGACATGTCCCCTAAACGTAAAACAAGTTATTAGAGACCCCCAAGGCAGGTTCCTGACACTCACAGGCCAGGCAGGCCCCAACAAATATGCCATCACAACACTCTATGCACCGAACATCCCTGACAAATCATTCTGGGATACACTACAGGCCCACCTGACACTAACCCCAGGCCACCTCAAAATTATTGGAGGAGATTTCAATGCTACGTTGTCACCGGCGACAGACAGACACCGCACCCGCCGACACGGACAAAACACAGCCCCTACAACCAAAGTAGACAAACTGCTACTAGCATTCACCCTCCAAACACGATTGGTTGATGTGTGGCGAACACTACACCCAACCACACATGACTTTACATTCTTTTCCCACCCACACAACTCATACTCACGTATAGACCTATTTTTGATCTCCCCCTCCCTCCTACCCATGGTCCACACGGCCACCATAGGCAACATAACATGGTCAGATCATGCGGACATAACTCTAACAATAAAAATCCCATATGTAGCGCGCCCCTGGACCTGGAGACTGAACCCGACTCTGCTACATAACCCCCTCCTGAGAGACACCATTCACAAAGACTTGTCAGAATATTTTACCAATAATGCACCCTCAGCACCCTCTCC